CAACATCCAAAATGTTCAAAAACCTTCAAGACGTAATATATGCAAAAATTTACATTTTCGATCTTCGGCCCATTACTATAACTACCCTACGGGAAGTTAATAATTACAGTTATTCCTTCGATTCGTGGCGTTGTGACCGTTTGGGATTGTTTGCTACATACATTCTATTATTAGATATAATCTTATTTATATATGTTTTTATCGATCCTTATAATATTTATATTATAAAACTGCAAAAGCGAAATGTCTAATTTGGCCTTTGCGTGGCCAAGGTGGGAGAGTCGACGCCGGCTCACCATAAGGACCGGCAGCAGCCTGATCAGTCCAGTTCGCGAGCGCCTTCAATCGAGTCGGCTATCTCTAGGCTATCGTATTTAAATCTCAGTGCGGGCTCAAAAAATTTTAATCGAACTAACCGAATAAACTAAAGATTGGTGCATTTCACAAAACATTTTAAATAAGTTACAATGGCGGATCCGGCCAGGCAAGTACTTTTCTGTGATTTTGTGTGATGTGAGCAAACTGGAGTATATACTTTAGATATAAATATTCTGGATCGACTTACACTTAATCTTTTCAATGTGATCACCAAAATTTGATATATATTTCTTATTTACGTCTCTGACTATTATGGAAACATTTTGTGATTGTTTAGTTATCTTCATCATATGGCTTTCCTAGTTATGGCATCTTTTTTTGCTATACTTGAACTGCAAAATTTGATATATTCTCCTGATAAATTTTATTTGTTCTAAGTGTTGATAAATATATTTCTCATTGATTTGAGCCTATTTTAATAATTATGGCGTTTCCTGCCAGAGGTGGAATTTGTAGAATAAAATCCTAAACATTTGTTCTTTATTTTTATCGCACTAATAATCTGAACGAAGATTGCAACTACTATTTCCTTTTCGACAAATGCATTTTTAATAAAAATGTGTAGCACATAAAAATTATCTTACATAGTTAATATACGATTAGTCATTTTCCTTTATCCTTGTAAATAAATATGTTGTGTGATATCTGCATGAGAGATTTTTAAGTATAATTATATCTTGTTTTCCAAATCTTTAAAAATATAATTTGATTCGATTTTCTGGCAGAAGAATTCTGAAGAATTTTAATTTAAAATGTTGAAGGGTTTTTGTCTTGCCAAATATTTAATAATTAATTTTTAAATAATTGCTATTTGTAATTATAAAGTAATAATATACTTTACAAAAATACCTAGCAAATACCAATTAAAAAGGAATATAAAAGTCTATTTGCTTAATTTGATTGGCAGACAGAATTAAAACATGATAAAAGTAACAAACACTTGATTTTATATTAACAATTGATTAAAATTTTAATTTTAATAATTTGCAAATATAATGACAACATTTTCCTATTGTTGATAAATATTCGTTAGTCACCAATTCAATTTTTGTATCAATTTTTGTTTGTAACAACTAAAATATGATTTTTCTCATTTAATTAAAACATTCGTTAATAACGATTGAAAACTTGCGACTTTAAATAAAAATAAAACAGTCTATTTGGTTAATTGGATTGGCACTCAAAATCATAAACATGACAAAAATAACATACAACTTATTTTACATGAGCAATTTATTATAATTTTAATTTCAGTTGTTTGCAAACATTATTAATGCTTTTTCAAAAAAAATTTGTTTGTATTTCGAAAATATTTCAGATTTTGATTTTAATTCTGGCCAAAGTTCTAAAGTTCACTTATATACTTTAAATAAATAAGTTTTAAAATATTGAAAACATTTAATATTCTTCGAACATTTCGTTACGATACGGGAAGTTCCAACAATTTGACTTAAGGCACGATGACATACACCACTAGTTTTGATAAATGTTTATTAGTCACTTATTAGTCATTTATAATAGCTAAGATACGATTTTTCTTTTTTAATTGAAACACTTATTAGGTAATTCAATTCTTATAATATATAATTTGATGCGATTTTCTGGCAAAATCTTATATTTATTAAAAATAACAAACAACTGAGCAATTAATTAATTTCAACGATATATTAATTGCATTTTCTTATTTTTGATAAATGTTAATTAGTCACCCATTTAATATTCGTATTGTTTTTCTTACTTAATAAACTAAGATACGATTGTTCTTATTTAATTAGAACACTCGTTATTAGGTGATTCATTTTTTCTAGACGCGATTTTCTGGCAAAGTCTTATATTTATTATAAACAACTGAGCAATTAAGTATTTTCAACAATTTGCAAACATAATGATTGCGTTTCCCTATTTTTGATAAATGTTCATTAGTCACCCATTCTTATTGTTTTTCTTATTTAGTGTTTTATAACGATTGTTCTTATTTAACTCGCTATTAGGTGATTCATTTCTTCTAGACGCGATTTTATGGCAAAATCTTATATTTATTATAAACAATTGAATAATTAATTATTTTCAACAATTTGCAAACATATTGATTGCATTTCCCTATTTTTGATAAATGTTCATTACTTACCCATTCAATTTTCGTATTGTTTTTCTTATTTAATACAACTAAGATACGATTGTTCTTATTTAATTAAAACACTTGTTATTAGGTGATTCATTTCTTCTAGCGATTTACTGGCAGAATATTATATTTATTATAAACAATTGAACAATTAATTATTTTTAACAATTTGCAAACATATTGATTGCATTTCCCTATTTTTGATAAATGTTCATTAGTCACCCATTCAATATTTGTGTTGTTTTTCTTATTTATTAAACTAAGATACGATAGTTCTTATTTAATTAAAACTCTCGTTATTAGGTGATTCATTTCTCCTAGACGCGATTTTATGGCAAAACTTATATTTATTATAAACAATTGAACAATTAATTATTTT